CATTTCTGCCCTCCTCCAGCTCCACACTGTCTGTCATCCTGACAGCCGCTGGGCTCTGGCAGCCTGGGAGCCAACAGCACACTGCCAGCACTGCTGCAGCCAGGCACGGGCACACAGCAAGGACAAAACCCGGCCAGCTTCCCATTCAAATTAATGCTCAGCTCTACACTTGCTGTTGTTTTCCGCTATCAAATTATGTTATTTTAGTCAAAGACAATGAATGGCCTGTCATTGCCCCCCACCCCCCCCACCCCCCCAACCACCTCGCTTCCTCAGCATGAATGTTGGAGCTGCTGCTTTTGTGAGCGGTGGGGGCACGGGTGTTACATGCCAGGGCAAAATACAACAAATCTAAAGAGAAAGAGAGAAAGAGGGAGAGAGAAAGAGTAAGGGTAAGAAAGAGAGAGGGGGTTAACCTCATCCATTGATTAGGATGTATCTGTGTCAGCTGTAGTAGTGAAACTGGGCTGGGTTTAGAGCATCAGTGCCTGGCAGATTCAATAGAGAGAGAGAGATTTAGAGAAAAATCAGATCTCAGACAAGAGAAAGATGAAACACCAGAACAGAAAACAGAAAAACAATAGACAGAGTAAATGCTCTAGATTTTATTAATTTTTATATCTTGACATGTCATGCTGGTGCCCCATTCAGTGTTCCTACCAGTGAGTAACTCTATGACATTTCATCTTGTTTCCCCCTGACTGCACTCTTCCTCCTCCCCTTCTCTCTCTCTCTCTCTCTCTAGTGCATTTCAGAGGGATCAATTTAATGAGTACAGATGCATGCTGGGAGCTGCGTAAGGCTCATTTTGTAAAAATCAACACTGGGCCTGCTCACCTGCCAAAAAGATGTGCCTTAATGCGTACAGAAAAGGGATTATTAGGGGTGTCATTACTTAGTTTTTTTTTGTTTTATTTTGTTTTGTTTTTTTTGTTTTTTTGTGAGGGTATGTTTATTAATATCTTACGGACCCTGATTATGCTAAAACATTTGTTTAATACGACTGAAAATTATCCTCAGAGACAAGGGCTTTGTTTGACATTAGCACAACAATGCAATCTTTGAATTTCCCATGTAACAAGAACCGCAAAGGTTGATTATTTATTTCTTTATTTTACATTTTTTTATAGTAATTTTTTGCAGGAGTTTTTTTTTCCCACTTCGCAGCAAGTGATTAGGGATTTGAGGCCTTTTTAGACTTGAGCTAGTCTAAATAAACTCCATTCATCAGACACGGTTCAGTGTTGACTATTAGCCCATTAATGAGCACTCTTTCACATACCTAGAGTGCCTCTGGAGATGGCAGTGTGATCCATCCATCGTGTAAATGGATTGGCCCATCGGGAAGGAAGGGAAAATGGGCCTGGCAGAAAGAAAGGGCTAATGGATTAGGATGGGCAGTTCATGTCTTCTGATGTTGTTTATCTAATCCGTTCTGTATCTCATCCTCTTTTCTCATGAACACACTTCAATTATGAGTTACTGTTGGTCTCAATTAAACATTTGGTACATGGCTGTATGCATCTGTACAGCAGTGCTGTTGGCCAAGCCTGTTGTGTGAGGTGTTGTTAGTAAACAGGACACGTGCAATACTCTATGTGAAATTCGGGTAAAATATCCTTAAATATTTTTGCTTTTATTTATTTATAATTCTTTATATTGTAAGTTTTATTTTAAGGATAGAGTTTATATATTTTTTATATTATTTTATATTGTTAGTATTATATATTTTGTCTATAAAGTAACAAGTCACAAACTGTAAAAACTTTAAGTTGATTCGCTTCTTGTTACTTTTTTTCTTTTCTTGAGTGCCTTGCTTTCCCTTTGGTGCTGTAATACTGAGAATTTCCCCATTGTGGGACTAATAAAGGATCATCTTATCTTCTGCATAAAAAAGTAGGTTTTTGAAGCTCAAAAGTGTGTTTTTACATCTTAAAAGTGTGGTGTATCATTTCAAAAACATGCAGTCATCTCAAAAGCATGGTTTTGCATCTTATAAGTGTAGTATATCATCTCAGAAGTGTATTGTATCATCTCAAAAGCATGTTGTAGCATCCCAAAGTCATGTTGCAGCATCCCAAAAGCAGGTTGTAGCATCTCAAAATGTGTTGTAGCATCCCAGAAGCTTGTTGTAGCATCACAAAACCATGTTGTAGCATCTCAAAAGCGTGTTCTAGCATCTCAAACGTGTGTTGTATCATGTTGAAAGCATGTTTAGCTTCTCAGAAGCATACTATATCTTTTCAAACACATGTAGCGTCTCAGAGGCTTGTTATAGCATCTCAAAAGCATGTTGTACCATCTCAAAAGCACGTTGTAGCATTTCAAAAGCATGTGTTTGCATCTCAAAAGCGTATTATAGCATCTCAGAGACATGCTGTATCATCTTAAAAGTGTGTTGTAGCATCTCAAAAGCGTATTATAGCATCTCAAAGGTATGTTGTATCATCTCAAAGACATATATCATCTCAACCATGTTATATTATCTCAAAGGCATGCTGTATCATCACAAAAACGTGTTTAGCTTCTCAAAGGGATGTTCTAGCATCTCAAAAGCATGCTGATGACATTGGCATGAATGACAGAAATTTGATTGGCCACCATGAGTGACTCCATGTTTGTCAGTCCTGGACAGAGTTGGTGCCTTTTTAAGTCGTGTTTTATAATATTTCGATCATATTTTTTTTTCGTTGCTGGATTTAATATAGCCCTCCATTTTAGTATCATGCGAACATTTTTAATAATTTAAAATAATTTAACAAAGGCAGCAGATATAGTGGCTAGATGGAGGCATTAGCCTCGAAGAACAGATTACACTATTATAACCCCTCCAGAGTTCACATAATGACACTTATGGCGTTGACTTTCCAGGTTTTAAGCTTCCCCAACTCTAAGAGCCGGATTAGAACGCCCCTGTAGAACTTTGAAGGAACTAAGCATTTTCTCTCTTGTCCTGAGCTTGTTGACAGCTCCACCATTTCACAGCATTTTTTATAATCCTGCACCTCACAAGCATAGCACAATTAGAACAAAGTTCTATGTGCAATTTGCACGATTAGCTTTAGCTTTAGTAAACTAGTCAGTTCTGTACATACAGTGTTGTAGCTATTTTTACACTGTGATCTCGCTCATACTTGGTTGTGTCTTTTCACTCTTGTTGGATGTTGGGAGTCATTATATGGGCGTGTGTGGGTGCCACTTGGCTGCCCAGGGCAGAACAAACTCACATGGGTCACTGCCTCCATGCTAATGTATTCAGTTTCAGTGTGGTGTCGATGCTGTGAGTGACAAATATAATTTGCACTGCCACCTTGAGGGCCTGAAAGGCTCTAATTGCATCAGTGCTGACAAAGAAAAGGGAAACGAGAGAGCCAGAAAGTGAGGAAGGATCCAAGGTGCTGACAGGAGAGAGGCTGATTACCTGACTTATTGAATTTAGATGCAAATAAACTCCATTAGGCATGTACAGTTGCACTTCCACACAAACACATGCGCACACTGTAAATGCTATATTGACTGTACCAAGCATTCTCCATTTCGCTTTGTTGCTTTGTTCAGCTTCTCCAACTTTTTTTGCTCTCTTTTCATCCTTTATCTCGCCACGGCTTCCAGTGTAGCACGCTGAGGAAGCTTAAGCAAACATTGAGTCCATTAGGAAGCTGATGGCCACAGAACAATGGGCACTAGCAGGACATTATTGGCTTTGTTTAAGCTTCTGTGAATGAGAAGCACCTTTTAATTGCACGTGTGACTGGTGAGCTAGGTGGAGTGGAGCTGCTGAGACTGAAGAGCTGGCTTTAATGACCGCTCTTAATGACCTAGAGGAGCTCATCGATCGGGAAAAAAAGAAGCTTCGCTGCCATCTGACAGCTGTTTTGTTTAAACTCAAGCAGGTGACTGGAGGGTAGAAGAGGTTTCTTTGAGTAAGGAGCGGATGTACAGTGGCTGTCTGAATAGGCCTAGTGGAAAGCAGCTTTGAAAGGGAGGGAAAGGGATTGTCCATAATGTCTAAACTTGTAATAGATAAGAAGGAATTGATTCTGGAGTGGAGTAACAGAATGGTGTGTGTGGTGAAAACATGGATGACGTTACAACGCAAATGTACCCTCAAAGAGACAACATAGTGTTTAAGGTGCAGTGGTGTGCCTTAAGTGTAGCTTAAATGGACCTTTAAAGGTATGCTTTGTTCTATAGGGAGATGAAAGCGAAGAAAAAAAGGGTAATGCTTTACTGTAGGGGATCATTCGTAAGGCTACATCTCACCTACAAAAGCCTTTCATGGCAACTGACATTGACCTACATAAGCATGTATAAAGGCTTATTCCAGCAAGTTTCAGTCGTCAGAACATTTTCTGAGGTGAAATTGACTAAAGCAGCTTCTATGACAACTGATGGCTGGTGGAATAAGTCTATTATTACTGTTTATATAGGTTTATATCTGTTGTCGTAATAGGCCTTACGAATGCTGCCCTTCATGAAAAAAGGTTCCCAAAAACATATTGTAAGAAACTAGTCTGTGATGGAGATGCTGCTCTCCTTGAATCTCAGCTGTCGTAATAAAGCCGGTGTGCACATGTTCATTTTTCACTGTACTAACTGCATGAATAATTGAGCTACAGATTGAGTATTGTTTTTCTTGGAGCATGTGTTGTGCAGTTATTAGCAAGTTCTAATTGTACTGGAAACAGTATAAACTCTGAGAATAAGTGGTTCATGGTCTTCAATTTCTGAATTATCAGTAAAATCTTACAATCTGATTTTAAACCAAATAATGTACTTCTTATGGAAAGCCAGTGTTAGTTTTGTTTTACTTTAAAATGTTTATCACCATAGGTTATATTTTAATTGTGGTCTGCTCTCTCTCTCTCGCTCTCTCTCTCTCTCTCTCTCGCTCTCTCTCTCTCTCTCTCTCTCTCTCTCTCTCTCGCTCTCTCTCTCTCTCTCTCTCTCTCTCTCGCTCTCTCTCTCTCTTTGTCTCTCGCTCTCTCTTTTCTCTGCAGGGGATTCTGGGTCTTGAAGATACAGTGCCGTACAGGACGAAAAGATCCCTCTTGGTGCCGCCCATGTTTGTGCCTGAAAACCAGCGTGCCCCATTCCCCAGATCCATTGGAAAGGTACTAGAACACGCCCATAGCATGAGTCACTAATGTTCCATTGCTGACTTCATTATTGCTGGGTCTCTTTCTACTGTGTGGATGCAAGCGGTGCATCAGTTTTGCATTGTCTTTCACTGAACAGTCATATTCAGACATATAGAATACAGAGCCTAATCATTTCAAAATCAGTTAAACACATTGAAGTCAATGTGAATCAGAAATAAGAAAATATTTTTCTTCCTTAACATGACATATTTCAAAGTAAAACAGGATACTTGGGTGGGAAATAATTTTGGGCAAGTGGGCATTCTGAAACAAGATAAACATGGAGTCAGACTCTGCCAGTGAACAGAATCTGTCTGTTTTGATGAAAGGCCAAAAATGAAAAAAATAAATTAAATTTATAAATATATATATATATATATATATATATATATATATATAATAAGTTCATTTTGATCTGAATTATTTGTAGTTTCTGAAACATGATTCATTATTTAAGTTTTTTAAGTTAAGTTACCCTTTATTAGTCCCACAAATTTCACCTCTGCATTTAACCCATCCGTGTAGTGAAACACCCACACACACACTAGAGAATGCACACACACTAGGGGCAGTGAGTACACTTGCCCATAGCGGTGGGCAGCCCTATCTGCAGCGCCCAGGGAGCAGTTGGGGGTTAGGTGCCTTGCTCAAGAGCAGTTCAGTCATGTACTGTCAGCTCAGGGAATCGAACGGGAGACCTTCCGGTCAGTAAGGCTTAGGGGTGCGGGAAAAAATCGTTTCTTAGATGCATCGCGATGCGGACACGAACGATTCTGAATCGATTCACAAACGTCAAAAATCGATTTTCTAAAAATTTAATTTATAATGTAATGTTGACGGAACGCAAAAGGCGGAACTTGGAAGTGGGTAAGTGCAGCGCCCGGACAAAGACACAACTGGATGAGTGAGAAATCTGACCAGCTCCCTCCCGCATTAAAAGCCAGGTTCGGTCAGGAGTCACAACCCAAATGTTAAGAAGAGCCATTTTGTCCTTTCAACATAAATCAGACCAGCTTGGCAGCCACAACATTTAATATCCAGTATGTCTCAGTATGTGCTGATGTCCTAGTATAGGCTAAACAATGTAAACAAAAATGCAGATTTACTTTACTCTGCTTTAAGCTTTAGCTATACCTGCTTTCCTCCCATCTCCGCCAGAAAACTTTTCTTCAGAAGTAGATCAGTTCCTCGTAAAATGTCTCTCAACCTTCGACTGTTTTACGAGGCTGAAGTCGCTTCTTATTCTCCAGCTTCTTGTTCGAATTTCCTGTTCCACCTTAAATTCTAACTGAGGCGCCGAATGCAAATGCAGCACTATTTAAGATGGAACGGGAGAATTAGAAAGAGAAGCGACTTCATCTTCGCAACTTTTTAGTGTGTGACAGTCTCTAGTTGAAGATTTAACTTGCCAGGAATCAACTCCGCTGCTTATGAATGCGAATAACACATCGTTGCTATGTGACCTGCAGCCAGTTCTTAGTCGTTGCGAAACAGGGCTTTCGCGTTATGTTGCACACATATCTCAAAGATATTTTACTGACACAGCGACCCCCACCTCCCCCGTATCTACAACGAGACCAAAACCGAAGTTATAAAATCACTGAATTAAACGGGTAGAATAGCTGTAACTTGTGCTGTGTGGACATCCATCACTACTGGATCTTATTTCACCGTAACAGCGCATTTTATCGCAGATGAGCGGCAGCAGCATCTCGTGCTCCAAACAAAAGCAGTGAATGAGAGCCTTCTAGTTCACTTACCACATCACTTCCATTTGATTTATTAATAAAAGATATTGGAAGTAAATTCATTATGGATCATTACAGATACTTTGCTGTAAAAGTACCAAGTCCTCAGACAGTAGGAAAATAGAAATCCTGTATAGACAAAAAGATGCATCGAGATGCATCGATAATCGTCTTATAATCGCATCGCAGCCCTCTGAATCATAATCGAATCGAATCGTGAGGTGCCTAAAGATTCCCACCCCTAGTAAGGCTGTTATTTCAGCTTTTTTATACTTTCACAGAAAAAGCAGGACAAAAAGGAAAAAGCAGTCAAAAGAAGTCAGGCTGACTTTAAGGCTCACTCGTTTTTTGTGTACTGTATGTTCTGCTCTCTATAAATGTTTTTAATGACCTCACAAAGTAATATGATCTTAATGGTACAGTAGCTCAAATAACACTATAAAGATCCTCAAAACAGGGTGCTCTTATACTCAGGTCACCTCTAAAAATAAATAATAAAGTAATAATAGTGAAATCAGTCTCATTTGATTCACATTGAACATTTCCCCCCTTTGCTGTAGGCTCTGGTGGCCAGTATCATAGCTATTAGAGAGAATGAGGGGAGAGAGAGAGCGAGAGAGAGATGAGATCCAATCTGACGTTTTCAGAACTAACGCTTTTCTCAGGAACACCTTCTAAAGACACGGCTATGCCTTGTGTCCGATTTACAGCTTTACACATTCTGCTCCAGGTCTTTAGTCATTAATGAGAACCATTTCCAGTAACCATCACTTTGTCTGAAAAGCTTGCTCAATACCGTACAAAACATGGAAAAATTAATTTTCTTCACTTTTTTATAGTAAAAGAGAGTGATGTACTTTTGATTCTGATGTACTATATGTACCATTCACTCTACAGTCCATATATGGAAACTATGCCTGTTTTAAATGCATTGTTTTTGTGATGTCACAAAAACCAACACGTTTTTGCTGTCACACAAAAACCTTATATCCCCATTTTTGTTGTTTTTGCTCTCTGCATAATGTGAAAACTTCAGTTACTCTTCGCATTGTGTTAAATGTCATGATTAAAGGACCAATAGAAATGCTCTAAAATGACTCGCAAAAAATTTTGTGGCATTAACTTCCATTACAAGTTAAAATTGTTTTTCCCTTCCCCTCTAAATTACCATTTTGGACATACAAGGCTACAATATATCCACTTATTCAGCTATTATAAGCAGTGTCTCAGCCTGGGCTGCTTTTTGAATGAGGCACAATACAGAGCAGCCAGTCAAAACAGAGATCATTTACATATGTCAGTCTCAAAAGGCGCAGCAACAAAAACAGCCTGTTTAATTTTAAAGAATAGAGATAGGTTGGACAATTCATGTGAAAATGGATTATTCTGGTACATAAACCCACACAAATGTCCTAAGTGGACCTCAGAAAAGAAAAAAAAACAGAGAATCTTGGTCCTTTAAAGCTTCTCTAGATCTGTGTGTGTAATGCACTGATCTTCATGAGTGTGCATGTGTAGTTACATGACTGTGCATGTTGAGTGACTGGAGAAAGGTTAATGTACTGGTGTGCACATATTGGCTGTGTGACATACATGCAGGTCGTGTATGACACACATGCAAGATCATCCCTATTATACACTTTGTTACCTGGAGCACGGTGGAAAGGATGAGAGCTCAAATGAAAAAGGATCACTCGTTCAGCTGCATACATATGGGGTAATGTAGAAAAGGCACTGAAGGAAAAAAAAGAAAAGTGCCGCAGTGCCTCAGCCAGGTTTCATGGTGTGACAGCTGCAAAGGTAGGCAATTGTTGTAATGGGTTATAATGTTGTCCTGTGATGCTGGCTGCTTGAGGGGACAGTGAAAGGGCAGCTGGAAAGAACCTAAAAGATTGTTTCTCACTGAGGTAGAGAGGGGATTGCATCATTTCAGCGCTGAGCATAACTGATGGGGCCTTAAACAAAGGGATGTTGTAATTAGGGCTGTCAAAGTTAATGTGTTAATAACACATTAATACATTTAAATTATTTATGCCACTGTTTTTTAAAGCCGTGAACACATTTTCCTAGTTTGACCCGTCAAACTGTCTGCAGGAGTGCAGGCTGAAGCCCAGCAACTCACTGTGAGTTTCAATGATACAGTCCTCTCGGAAAAATACAGTTTTTGAACAGCTGTAACAGCTTTGCCAAAGTAACTGCTTTGCCAAACTGTTCAGGATGCTGTACCCACCGTTACTCTCACTGGATGTCTGTGTTGAAATTGGACACTGCAGTCAAGCCATGGGAATCATGAAATTTCATGTTTAGGTTCAAGATGAAAATAATGTTATTGAATTATTGAAGTTAATATATACAGTCTTATAAATCTTATCTAGGCTTTATATGTCAACTATACAGTGTAGCACTGTATAGCTACAGTGAGGTACAAAAGTCTGAGCCCATTAGTGAAAATGCTTGTGTTTTGCACTCTTTTCTAATTTAATAAAAACAAACATTGCAAATTGAGTACAAAAAGTAGCATCTTTGAAATTTTAACATGGATTTCAAAACGTCTTTTTTTTTTAATGCCACCTGTTTGCTTTAATGACACTGTGCACTCAAACTGGCAGTTTGTGCACAAGCTTCTGATGAGTAGATCAAATCAACCTTAGAGTCTCCTGAACAAGTGATATGAGGTAAAAATGGAACAAAATCTTACCTTTGTGTCAAATTGGAGCAAATAAGAAAAGTGTGATTAATTGCTATTAACTGCACAAAATAATAAGCTTTATTATGACTAATTATTTTGATCTTTTGACAGCCGTTAGTATAACTGAGTAGAGAAATGTAACCAGCAGAAATGACGACTTTGGTCCTTTTCCTAGATTCTTGGATAATGTCTTCTTCTCACACTGTAATCATACCAGTGTCAGTGTGGGCCTGATGTACTAAGCTTTCTGGGGAAGCTTCAGGTGTCAATCAGATTCTCTCACTCATGCATGTGTTTTTGAGGGATGATCATGCAGAAAATAGGTGCAGATATTGGAATTGTAGCTAAGTCCATATTCCCGCCCAATTTGCTATAGTTTGAGCAGGTCGGTGGACGATTTTCTCCACTTTTTAAAAACTGGAATGAATTTGCAGTTTTGTTTCTAATGTAGTTTGTTGGAAAGCTACCTTTAAATATGGCAGCAGACACAGTGGCTCAAACTCAACTACTGAATGGGCCATATTAAAGAATCTAGG